CTAAACCCTATAAGCCCTAAAGCTCTAAACCGTTGCATGCCCGCAACATCTGAGGACGCTGGAGCAAGGGTCGCACTACGGAGAAACCATGCTCCTGAGCCTTGAGCAGGCCTGGTTTCTTTTAGGGTCTAGGGTCTTGGGCTTTAGGGTTTAGGGTTTCGGTTTTAGGGTTTGGGGTATGGTTTGAGCTAGTCCCCAAGCCCAGTTGCAAAAAGGGTATGGTTTGAGGGTTTGCAACTCGTATCCTTGCTTCTTCTGTACCATGTAAGACATGCCGTAACGGGCTCCTCCTCGAAGACCTTGCAATTGCGCCTGAAGAAGGTCTGGCGGGTTTCCCTGGTGGCATACTCCTCCAGCAGCTTGTCTCCATGGTTCGTGGGAGCGAAAGCGCCAGGGACTGCTGAAGCAAGAAGCCGATACCTCTGCAACTGCAGGAAAGACTCTGGGGGTCTCAAAGGAAGTGCAAGCGAAAGCTGCAGTCAAGATGCCATGCGCCCTCTAGGTCTTCAGCCGTGTGTTGCAATGCACTTCTTTGCTTCTCCACGGCATATGAACGCATATTCCTCCATGCCGAGATTGTCCCAAAAAGTATGCGCTCGTCTTGTTGGGCTGCGTGTCGCTGGTACTTCAGTAGGAGATTGTTGAATGTAGTGTCCCTGGGCAGGTGCCGCGCTCAAAGAAGCCTGAACCCAGAACCATTGGCTGAAGCATCCAATTCCAAACTGGAGCACTTCCCGAGCTTATGCAAATTGCTGCCTCAAGTCCTGGACCGGAAGCCTCTACACGAAACACCATATCGAATACCACCTACTGTAGGCTTGTCCGAGAGTGAGCGCCGAATCCCCTTACACCCCTAGCCCCAAAGCCTTGCTCGGAAAGTTCTGATCCTGAAGGCTTCTCGACATTGCGCAGATAGGCCCACAAAGCCTACAAAAGCCTCGTAAGATTGTGTGAGATCTCTATAAATGAATGGCCCTTTAATTAAATGTCTGCAACACCGAAAAAAAGGCCCTGTAAAACAGCAGGAAGCCCCTTACGAAACCTTGGTTTCCATTTCCTTATCAACAACTTTATGAAGAGGTCGCGACAGAGCCTCAGAAAAGTGAAGCCCAGGTATGGTTTGCGAGATCCGTCGGGAGTCCTTTCGGCGACTGCTTGAGGACCTCCGTCGAATCAGCTTCTGGGTTTGTTCCAGGGCCAGGGTTTGCGAATGTAAGGTTTGAGGATTTAGGGCTTGAGGATGCAGGATTTGAAGGTAGAGGGCATCGAGTTTGAGGAGGGCATGGGCTTTGAGAATTTTGGGTTTGGTGATCCGGGGTGTGGGGGAGTAGGTGCATCATCCAGGGCTTGAGCATGGCGGGTTTGCGGATTTCGTGTTCCGGGATTTAGGGTTTGAGGTTGACTGGTTTTGGCTAAACCCTAAAGCCCACTCCCTAAACCCTAAAGCGCACCCCCTGAACCTTAAACCCTAAAGCCCACTCCCTAAACCCCAAACCCTAAACTCTAAACCCTAAAGCCCAATCCCTAAACCCTGAACCCTAAACCCTAAAGCCCACTCCCTAAACCCTAAACCCTAACGCCCACTCCCTAGACCCAACCCTAAGCCCCGAAGCCCACTCCCTAAACCCTAAACCCTAAGGCCATGTACATCGTGTGCGTACAGCTGCAGCACATGCACGGTGGGTAGTGCCGGAAAGGAAACAGATGTTGGCAAGACATACTTCCCGAGGTCCACAATGCCGTTGCCGCTTACAAAAGTTCAAACCAACCGTATACAACTTTTTAGCAAGTAATACACATCCGTACAAGATTCCGTAAAGGCCAAACCCCCCCAGTCCGAATCCTGGCGCAGGATTTCCCCGCCGAGGCCCAGCAGTACGAGAGTCTCGGCCGCTGACTCTGTGGAGGTCTTTCTGGAGTGCAAGAGCTTCGGGGGCTTTTAGGGGTCTGTCGGGTGCTGGTCTTTGGGGTTTGAGAAGGTGTTACGGTGGGGCTTTCATGGTCGGTTGGCGGAATTTAGGGTTCAACGACTAGGTGTCTGACGGTTGGTAGGGTTCAGTGAAGCCTTGATTCCGACGTCTTTTGGTTCACATGGTTGGCTCAGCATTTGCTGGGCAGACGTTTTTTTGCTGACATGCACAGTTAGCCCACCGACCACTCGCCTGCTTCGGAGGGTGCTTCGGATAGGCAGGCAGTTATTTGAAACTTGAAGCGTCAGATGTGCCTGGATGTTGTTTAGAGCCGCCGAATACCTCCAACATTGGTATGTAATGCTTGCGCACTGGCATTCGCAAGCAGCCACCGCGAATCAAAAGATGGCGCTACGTTGTTGTTGAAGCAGAGTTCTTTTCGAACATGAAGCACGACATTGCCTTGGCCAAATTTCTTCCGAAGAGAAACTTGTTAGCGAAGCGTTTTGCTTGGTGTAGTTGACATGTCTGTCTACGCTTAATTGCTTGATCTGCTTTCTGCTCTTGTTTGCCCATCGCTGCTCTGGTCCCATGGACCCAAGGAACTCAGCACGGAAGCATAAATCGTGAGCATTCTTGCTTTCAGGCCGTGTGATCTCTCTCGTGTCGTAACTCCTCGCAAGGATCACTACTCTCGCCCGCAACGGCCACCCGTAGATCCCCGTAGTATGGGATCCTGATTGAGAAACCCTGGATCTTTATTGGGGTTCTTGGCATGGACCCTAACATTTTGGGGTTATAGGGGCCAGGGTTTCCTAATCAGGTTCCTACAATACTTGTACAGTGTACAGCTTAAGGACTTTCTTCGAGCTCGCGATGGACCAGCTGTTTTCCGGAACCCGGACGCACACCTGCGACATCTTCACGGGGCTCTCGCAGAAGATGCAGCTCGGCGGGAAATGGTCCAATGCAAAAACTCAAGTATCTAAAGAGCTCAGGGGGACATGTGTGCCGATACGTGTACTTATATGTGAGCAAGTGTATGGCTGGTGTATGTATGTGTGTATGTACGTAAATGCTTGAGTGTGTATGAATAATTACAAGTATACAGATAGATTGGCTCACATACTGTATGTATATGCAGGTCGTTCTTGGAATCGTTGCTTGTCGCTCCCTTCTCTTCCTCTTCCGTTAGACGAGCAGACGATTTTCGAATCATGCTTGAGGCGGGCATTTCGTTATAAGAGAGCTGCAGGAAAGGCACCCGTATTCATCGACAATGCCATGCAAACTCTGCACGGCTTGAGGCTTGAAGCCTTCGACGAGCACATGCTGCGGAGGGTTTACTTCCCTGGAGAGATAGCAGCTTACCTCATTGGTGCCAAGATGCTTTCAGCTGGCTGCTGTTCCTCTCCTTCTGGGCTATCGTGCCCGTTTTGGTTGTTGCTGCAACACTCGGCATCGGATCCTGGAAAGCCGAAGTCCCGAAGCCAATCCGGCCTCTGCTCTGAGGTGTTGCACGATGGACCGAAAAGTAAGGAGCTCGTGCTCCTGCAGGACGGTATGGCCGCGGTGGAAATCGCTTCCTGCAAGCACATTACGGAGGTTTTTAGGGACTGGTGCCGCGCTGTAGCAGTACAAAGACCGCAGTACTTTGGGTTTGGAAGCTTCTGGGTTTCAGCGTTGCGTGAAACACAAGAGATAGGCAGGCAGACATGGGACTAGCGGAATGGCATAGCATGGCTTTCATCACAGAGGATAGCTGTAGCAGAGGCCAGTAGAGTCACGGGGGCGGAGAAGGAGTTCAGTCAATCTGGTAAACGCTTGCGTGCTTCGTCAGCATGAACCCCAAAGAAGCACGACTCGACAACCCTTGCCATTCATGGGTTGAACGGATGTCTAGTACACACCCATCCCGCCCGTCAATTCCTACGGAAGCTTAACTTACGGTCTCTGGTACAGGGGAGCTGCTCAGACAACATTGTGAAGCCCTCCCATGACAAGCCACCCCGCCCTTCGACAACTCGCACTACCATTACATTGACATCACCACCCCAACCGCTGGCATCACTGCCGGCATCATGGGTTCCCCATCTGCAGTCGTCACCATAACTTTCATGTGAGTGCAACTTCATCATTGTCGCCAGTGCGATGTGCAGCATGATGATGACTATCTCTGCCGTCGCAATGGCTGCCCCGTCCACCTCTTGTCAAAGCTGTCAGGCTGGTCGCACAGTGCGAACCGAGACCAGGGGCAAGAAGGCCCTTTGTTTGCAAAGAAGGTTGTGCAGTTTGCCGCTTGTGGTTGGGGCGCCAACCATTTGATAATGTTGCGACCAAGCAGCGAAGTTTTGAAGTTCTCTAGCTCCTCAGCAATATCCGCAAGTGCAGTCTGCGTGCAGGACGACATTGGCGGGCGGGCTCGACTGAGATCAGACATGATGTCAGACGATGATGGCGAAGAAGAGGAGGCGACGAATGAGCGTCGTGTTTAGAGAACAAGCCCCAGCGTGCTCAGTTCTGGATGTCAGTTCGAAAACATAGTGCCGAGCCTTGCTGCAACACCACCGGCAACGGGTGGCGCGCAAGCTGCTTCCATAAGGGTTTGATGGGCCCTTTCCCTGATGGACGGACATTTGGGGTGCAGGCGGTAGTTAAGCAGAGTGAAACTTAGGGCCCTAGGGTTTACAAGCCTGTGTAAAAAGGGGTCATGTCCGTTTCCGTGTTCAGCGCACAGAACCGAACAGATGTGTCGTGCCCAAACACCAGGCTTCAACTAAATTAAGCAAATGGCTTGTTGCTTCTCATTTTTGTTGCCGCTTTCCTCTCTTCGAGCTCCTGAATTTCTGAAACTGTTACGTTGACGGTCCGTTGACGACCTCACCCACCATTCTTTCTAAACTTGGTATTGCTACCGGAAACCAGTGTTTTGGCTTTCCTGCTGCACTTCCCGTCTTGATTGTTCTTCCTTTTCTCATCTCCACAGTGGAAAGCGCAGGTAGAAGAGGATGACCGGCCAGCTTGCTTTGGCGAGCTTGAGTTCTTGGGACTCAGCCCTGTGCGGAAGACTGTAGCGTGCCTGAACTATAGTTTGGGGACTTCGGGCTTCTGGTTCGATGTCGAACAACAGTGAATCGAAGCAGCTGTTAAGAAAGAAGAAACAATAGCACGGACATGGTAACAACACTTAGCAGCAACAATTGAATAAGAAAGGGGTGATTACCTGCTCTTGGCAATTTGCACGGATATCTTTCGGAACGCCTACAGGATGTCTTGTGCTTCATCTGCTGGTTTTGCCCCAGCGTTTCGGGGGTTGACGCCCCTCAAAAGCCTGAAATGAATACATTCGCGGCGTAGATTTGCAGGTAGTGTGTTTGAGAAGCACCTGTTCATAGCACATGGGGGAGTGAAGTCGCTGCATAGACTGCTTACTGTTCGATCGTGCATTCGTCAACGATAGCAGTCGCTAATTGCTGCTAGGTGGGGGGTCTGGGGCTCCTCCGGGCTTGTATTTCAACCAGGGAGTTCTAAGGAAGCTGAGAGGAATCAGCCTGTCCGAAAGATGCTGTGTGTAAAGTTTTTCCAGGTTGCCACGATTTTGGGATCTATGTCTATGCTTTAGGGTTTAGTGTGCAGGGTTGGCTGCATTTGATGTGAGGGCCAGTGTGTCCACAACTGTGCACTTGCCCAGGCCGTCAAAGCTTTGACTCCGTGTGTATGCAGGCCCGGCTGTTCATGAAACCCGTTCCAGGTAGACCTTCATGCAACACACACACATACATACATACATGCATGCATGCATGCATGCATACATATGTACATACATACATACATACATACATACATACATACACATGTACATACATGCGTACATGCATGTATGCATCCCTAAATGCATGCATACATCCATCCATACATGCATACACAGATACAGACATTCTGCAGGCATATATGTACATGCATACATGCATGCATACATGCACATGCATGCGTACAGTCATACATGCAAGCATGCAAATGTGGACAAATACATGCATACATAGATCGAGGACATCTGCCAGAACAATTTCCAGCGCAACTGCTCCAGGTCGTCACGCAATAGATGAAATCACTGCGCCTAGGATATTCGGAATGCAGGATGCGACCATGTTTGTATCTTTCGGCATGTGACATTTTTATGTGTCATCGTCTGCGCCCGCATGTAGCACCGACCATGCAATCCATGGTCCTGTGCTCGTACGGATCATGACATTGAGAGAGTATTGACTACTACCAGAGTGTTAGCGAGTTCTCGGTCCGGATGCAAAAATGGCAAATCAACGGACAAGCTTGGCTATGTCGTCGCAAGTCTGAACCCTGCATTTTTCAATGTTCCCAACGGCCAGCATCAAGAGCTAGGGCTCCTTCATGTCCTGAGCTCGTACACACCTTCTCTTGCATTCGTTATGCCTGCGACACCAAGACTGCATGTTTCGTGAGTGCTGCGCCCTGACTTCTACCTCTAAGCCTGACCAGGAGCTATGTTGTTACATGTGCACGACGCAGTGTCTCAACCCACGACTCTGTCAAATTCCTGCAGGATTCTCAACCGTGAGATGGTCTTGCACGTTGCCAGGGACACGGACATGGAGGTCTACAGTGCCATGGCCCGTCATTCATTGCTTCAAGGTCCCGGGTTGAGGATGTCGGTCATCCGAAAGGCCAAGACTCCAAGATATGCCACGGAGTCGTCCTGCGGCGTTTTTCCTAGCAGACAACCCTGGGTCTGAACCCCATCCGTAGCAGTGACAACATGTTAGTGACTGGCTGCTTTGGGCCCTGCGATGCCGTCTTAGTGCCCACAAGCCCCCAAGGCAGCATGCTTCTGCAGATGTTCCAGAAGACGGTCCACAAAACGAGTGCCGAGCAGGCCCGTTCCTCTTGTCCCTGACCATGCCAGGCAGATAGCCCCATGAAAACCTTAAAGGCCCTAAGCCCTGCCAGAAACCTGAACCGTAAATCTATGATAACCTTAAATCCTGCCAGGGAGTTAGGCTCTGAAACCTGAGACTTCTCGCAGCATTCTCGTTTTTGCTCGCGCTCAGTTGACTGCAGGCCAGCGTGCTCATGGACTTCATCTCAGCAGGCTGCAGTGATGAATTCCTTCAGCAGCCTGGCGTCCACACACTGCTGGTGAGTCCGTACCCGACTTGCATGCATACACACATACGTAGTGCTCACGCTTCATAGTGAAGCCCCGCTCCTTTCTTCGGACTTTTTTTGTCTTGGAATGGTTCAGTCCTTCTTTCCTATCTGTTCGACCTGCGTCTGCATTGCTACATTGCTGTGGCTCCTTGCTGTTCCGCTTGATGCTAGCTTGTGCTAGTGCGCCCCTGAGGCTTAGGAGGAGGTAATGATACTCACCCTCAGGGCTGATGCTGCGACGCCTTTGTGTGGTAGTGCCAGTCACCCGGAGCTCTTCTGGGATGACTCCACGAGCTGATTAGCGCAGTATCCGGAAGCAGGCGATGGCCCAAGTCACAGGTGCGATGTTTCCGAACCTACCAGGCTTGTGGTTGTGGAACTGAGGCTCTAGCCTGGACTCAGGTCCGCAAGGGGCTGTTCTGAAATTCCGGATGCTGTCAGGTGAGGGCCGGCCCAAGGGGGTTTAGAATGCGAAATGATTCCTGACATTAAAAGTCCCAGAGACGCCAAATCTCAAGCTCCAAACCTGAGAAAGAAGCCAGATCTCGCTGATGTGGCAGTTTCGAAGCGGATCTTACTTAGCACTGATTTTCTTGAACTGCACCCCGGCTTGACTAAGGTTTTTGTCAGGCCATCTGGAAGCACGGCTCTACCCTGAAGGGAAGCCTCCTGCCGATTTTAGTCTTTCGAGCCCTTTCGGGTTTGAGGATGCCGGCAGTGCAAGACTTGTGTGATGCATGCGAGGGCTGACAGTTGTGGAAGATGTCTTTATCATACCGCTTCCCAGGCTGATTTGGGAGCTGAACAAGAAGTACTGCTCTCGCTCCCTTCAGATGGTTATGAGCGGCCGTTCGGCTTCAGATGTGACTCTGCCGGTGCGAACTCAAATCTTCCTGAGATGGCGAGCGAAAAAGCAAATTATATGTTCATGGAAAGTCGGAAACGAAACATGAGAAAACACAACTAGACGTAGAGAGAAGAGGGAGAGAGGGAGGCACCATCATAGGAGGACATAGACAGGGCCGGGGATGCAGAGAGAGCCAGAACGACATGCAGCAGCCAAAAAACAAAACGGTTCCCCCGCCGGGGCTGCGGGGATGTAGCGAGAAGAAGATCTTCTTCGGGCAGTGCAGAACTGGGATGTCTGAACCCGGAAGCGAGACAGGCATGCGAAGCAATCAGTCCTCCGATGTGATTGCAGTGATATGATGCGCGAACGATGTCACACTGCTGTAAGCACAACATCTTACCCGAGAAAGTTAGCTCCTTGCCGCGGAGCCGGCTGGCGGCTAGTGCATTCCGTGCAGTGCACAGAGCCGATCACTGTTTCGCCTCGAGGTTCGGTGCGTGTGATCGGTGTCGGCAAAAAGGACGGGTTCAGGATTTTGCGGTTTAGGGCAACGAAAATATTTGGCAGCATCTCTATCCAAAAGTGTGTGTCTGTGCGAAGGCAAAATATCACTGGCGACTGTCTAAACGTCACTGATACAGAAACCTAGTGTCTTATTGTGCCGTTTTTCTGCCGGGATTAGTTTCATGACAGAAGTAATTGGGATCGTTGGGGGAAGCACGCGTAACCCTTACAGTCGTGACAGCCAATAGTCGTAGCAACAATAGATTACAATCATGCCAAGTTTGTAAAACGTGGCAATAGAATTGAAAGCATCTCTGAGATGATCGAGCTTACGGTCAGTCGAAGACCTTCCAGGATCTTCCCCGTCTGGGCAAGGGAGATGTCTTCGGCCGAATGTCTGCGCTCAGCCTGAGGCGGGGTGATTTTCATGAACGGAGTGTTCATGGGGTGGCGTGGAGGTTTTGTACGAGATTCTGCTATGCAGGCTTCCTCCTCCTGACTCACGTAAAGCTCAAGAACCCACCCTGCCCAACTGCTCGAGGCCTCGACCTTCTGGGGCCAGTGCGCTCTATGCTGCAGAGCACTGCTGTGTCGAGGCTGGTCGGAAGAGTGTGGAGCACGGGGTGTCGGTTGAGGGGTTGTCACCTGAGAAAGGTTCTGTCGTCTTCTTGTTTTCAGCCAGCGGACCTGTACAGGGGATCGCCAAGAACGTTTTGGCGCAGGTGCTTCACCAAGATGTTGTCGTCCGCGCGCTCGAGATCTATCATGATCAACGAGGCACCCCTGCGGGACAATTTTCATCCACCGCATCAAGCCGGGTGTCGGCATTTGCGTTATGTTGATTGGACCCCCACATCAATGACTCCGCCTATCCGTTCGTTCATGATAGCAAGTCTGCATGAATGCGTGGACGCTACCAACACAACATGTCAGAGCACTTCATACATCGACGTACAGCGGAATTATGTGCCCATCACTCGCTCGCTCATTTGTCTCTGTGTCTCTCTCGCTCTCTCCCTTCCCTCGTTCCCTCTTTCCCTGTCTCCCTCTCTCTCGCTCTCTGTCCCTGTCTAGCGCTCTCTCTCTCTCTCTCTCTCTCTTTCTTTTTCCCCCCTCGTCAAGCGGAAGTTTTCAGCAATATCAAGCCTCGGACACGCCACGGAGCATCGAAGTTATCTGCACCCATCGCCAAGGCAAAGTCCTCACTCTGGATCGCGAGGCAAAAGCTGCCGCTGGAATCTCGGCTCGAATGCCTAAAAGCCCTTGCGAACTGCCCTCTTGGAATTTTGCCGCCGTGATTTGCTAGTTCTGTGGGAATGGTTGCTTGTCCAGGGGCGCTGACATGTGGAACCTTGAGCCAGACGGCAATGGAAGCATATGTGGCTCCGAAACAGAGTAACCCTGAATCCTTGTAATGTTTCATGCGCCTGTAGGGCTTAGGACTCAGACCCGGAGGATGGGTTCGCCGGAGTTTTACGGGTTTCCTGCCAGGCATCCGAAGGAGTCAAGTTCAAGTAATGAAATTGCAAGATGAATCTCTGTTACACAGGAATTGACAAGTTCTGCTCGATAAGGAGCGAAGGCCATGGACTTTGTTGAGATTGTCGCGAGTTCGCGAATCTTCTCTGACATGCTGCTTGGAGCATCCTAAGCAGCAGATCCAGAAGCTTCGGGCTTGCAAAAAGCTCGTAAGCTTCTTCGTGCGTTTACTGCCAGTGCGCGCTGCCAAGTCGTCAGGCGTGCGTTTTTTCTTCGGGAGTTCAGTCTGCCTGCGAGATGCGAAACTTCGGCCCTACATCTCAGGTCCCATGCTTTCGTGCAAGAACTGGCGGCTTCTGCCATCGATCGCATATTCATGCCAGGACATGGTCTGATCTGCTGGCTCTCAATTGCTATCCGAAGGGCCAACACACCGCCAATAGCCCTGCTGGAAACTGCCTCTGCGCATCATTGGAATCAGACCGACAACAAGTCTAGGACTAGGACGTCTGGGCCCAATCATGACAACAAGATGAAGTCCATCAATTTGTCGAAGGAGACGTGGTGATGCACCAGGGCGCCGTTGAATTCTCCATGTTTATCTTAGTGACAGGCGCTGGCACCGGAACTGCACTGTCAAGGAGTTTAATTGCTTGGCTGCGGGGTCTGAGGATTTGCAGCTGTGGTTGTTGCTGCTGCTGTTGTTGTTGTTGTTGCTGTTGTTTCTCTTCTTCTCAAGTGACAGTTCACAAATGCCGCGCACATTCAGGCTTCAATCATTCTGATTGCGGTCTTTGGCTGTGGGAGACTTTGGCCTTGCGACTCAAAATCAGATTTGTTTGCGTGTTGATGGTGGAACAGGGGGTTGCCCAAACGGTGCGCTTGGTCCAACTTGCAACTCCATGTGCGAGTCGCCATATGACCACCGTGATGAGACTGTTGTGTCTTATTGGTTTGGAAATGCGGCGGCTCGTGTTCGGTGAACTCTGTCCATGAGAAAAAGAAGGATGTTGAACAGGGGCTAGTTGTAGCAATGCAGCAAAGACAGCGGATGGCAGTTGTTGAGATCGAGACGAATTGCCAGCTTGTTTCACGCGACGTAACATGAACGGATACCCACCCGGACCTGCAGCTCCCCGAAACATCGGGAAGCTGTCGCTGGCACTTTTGCGGACCTGTGGCAGGCACCGCCGACGTGTTCGTGAGCGATGTGTCTAAGTCAGATGACCCGCACGGGCCCCAGAATTGAGCTTCACAAGTCGAGGACCACCGCCCTGTAGTCGGTCATGTCTCAAGTCAAGATGCGCATAGCCGTGACATGGTTCAGATGGTGCAACAGATGCGTTGTCGATCGAGGGATGTGCTGTCTCGAAAGGTGAATTTAAGCATCGAATCTTCCTGCCTGCAGCCTTGTAAGGTACACCGGGGCGAAGGAGCGGAGTCCCGTGCGCCACGCATGAGACCCAGGAAGGGCTGCTGAGGTGTCGCACGGTCGAGTGCAGCGGTTTCTTCGGGCTTTGACGACACGAGCAGACCAAACGGTACTTTCGTGCCTCTTGAGCCAAAGACAGTGCCTTGAGGCCAGAAGCATGAGCCGGGTTAGCCACCTCGCTCCCGGAGCGATCTGCAGCTCTGGCAGAAAGAGCAAACACTTCTTGGGTTGTAGTAGATTACATATTAGAATATGTTAGAATATATTAGGATGCATGAGAAATGTTGAAACACATCGGCATACATCAGACTACTTAGAACCTTAGAATATGTTAGAATACATCCGAACATATCAGAACATCCTTACATCTCATAAGCTATTACAAAGATTTGTTATAAGATATCGTAACATAGTATATTATAGTATATGGTAAGATACCATAGTGAACTCTACCACGTTGAAACGGTCCTACCCCGGGTACCGAGGTGGCGAGCTTGCGATGCTTGGAATCACCCCCACAAGGTCGGCGGGCATCCGGTCTTGGAAATCGACAGCTCAGGGTTTGTAATATAATATAATACTATACTATACTATACAAAACTATACTATACTATACTATACTATACTATACTATACTATACTATACTTATTATACCCAATACGTAATACTTAATACTTTTTCTTATACCATACTATACGAAACTCTCGTAAACTGTGCTG